ACGACAGCATCTAATCACCCGACCTTCGCATCTTTAATTCATAATCACCAGACTATAATTTGGTTGCTGGATAGCCGTGCAGTCGGATATTGGCTGGCGCGACGCCGACGTTCTCCGTGACAATAAAATTTCACGCGACATAAAGCAAAAACACACCCCCAACGCATTACCACTGTTATTTCTCATGACCAAACAAATAGGACCTTTCAACTATCATACACTGCTCCAATCTTTGAACAAAACGCCAAAGTTAAAAGGATCACGACAGGTCAGAGATTCTGGTGCATAAAACACATCTTGTTATGTTAGTGCGGATATCGTCAAAGTTCTGTCGGATGTTAACTATGAAAAGTTTGACTATAACTAGAACCATTTAATGTTCAATGTTAGTATCAGTGGATTATTATAGAACATACAATAATACTACATAAGTATATAATATTTCTTGTCTTCTTCTTGTTCATACGGTGAAGGAAAACATCGTGATGCAACCTGCACATATCTGAGAAGAAATTCAAAGATATATGTGGAGTCAACTAATCCGCACTTGGCCAGCGTGGTTGACTATGGCCTAGTCACCCCTAACTTAGAGTAGGCTCCGAGCCCATTTGTGGGGACGGATAGTGAGCTGATGATGATGATAAATTTACTCAAAATGTTAAACAATTAAAAAAATGGAAAGAACTATATACTCATATGCTCAACCAGATGACAGAGAAATAGAATAAGGAATGTTTCAATTCACCGCAATACTTAATGAAAATCTCAAAAGCGAATACGTTCGTTGGCTGTTTAAAAAAAACAGTTAGACTAGACTCAGTTAAATATTCATTTAAAATTTGAAGTATTTAATTAAATTATATTATTTATAAATATTTGGTACATCTATAAAAATGAATATTTTAAATTTAAACACAATAGACTTAGTAAGGCCTGTGCCGAGTTCTCTTCCTTCAATGAAAAACAAGGAAGCTCTAACATCAATATTTGAGTAAAACTCTTATCTTACTACCGGCTAACGAGGGTAAATATTTAAACTAGAGGAAATTAAAGTTTTGATTTTACATTCAAATTAAATTGACAGTAATCATTAAAATTAGTTTATGGTCATAACAATAAACAAAGGTATACTGTTGTATAAGCGAGAGTTCAAAAAACCGCGCTATTCTTCTCGCTCCTCTTAAACCCGAGTTTCTCGCTTACGAAGGTCGTTCACCGTGACACCTCTCGCTTATAGAGGAGTCTTGCTTATCCAAGTTAGACGGTATGTGCTGTATTTTAACGACGAGATTAGACAAGTTTAAAGACCCCAAAAAATGTCTGGTTTATGATATTTATAATTGGTAGTAATAAAGGATTTAAAACATTTGTCATTGTAAACACCATCATAAAGCGACATATGTATGTATTAAGCCGTATTTACAAAGGAAAAGAATAAATAACATAATAAACCATAGAGATAATTTAAAAAATAAACCATTAACGGAATATACGAGTTTTTATGGTTGTTATCATATTATATAATATGGGGAAGTGTCAAATTGCTAACCATGTATTGTTGGTTTGTTTACCATATGTCTAAGCTTGATTCATGACGTTTTGGATATGTCAAAATCAACCAGTTCTTACTGCTAGAGCCATCTACTGACAAACAGCGAGATCTTAGTTGCGCACCTAATACACGCGATGTCCTGGTTGACCTGGTTTTCTTTTTGATAATACTGGATTTTTATATTTAAATATCAACATCCTTCGATATATCATTACCCCTTTGGTGAAGTAATTATTGGATATAATAAATACCTAAAGCAATTGTTAGAAACTTGACCAATACATCGTTTCGCCAAGTTTTCCAACAAATTAATTTTATCAATATAAAAACTTCAACTAACGTGATTAAAGATTGCTGTTGAATTAAAGCTATCGTAAGCAATTCTAAATAAAGCTACATGTACACAACCAAACAAGAGCAGAAGCATAAAATTTCAATATAGCGTACAGTGTGCTCAGGCTTAAAAATGTCTGGAACACCAGCAGCGGGCGGAGGGTGCGGCGGCGCGGGGTGTAATTTGAACAAATGAGCGACGGCTACGGAACTAAATTAAATTCGCACCGGAGTAGCCGTAGCCCGCTGTCGCCCGCCACCGCCCGCCGCTCACCAACAGATTACGGAAGTCGACCGATGCGGCCTCCGCAATTTGTATCGATTTAAAACTAACACAACTATTTCTATTAAACTCACGTAGAAAAGCTTCGCTTCAATGAGTTATCCATGTCTTTTTATTTGTGATATTCTTTGGCAATTAATGTGAATCTAAAAATTACTACATATTAAGTAGTTTTAAGGGCTATGTCCCAATTTAGACGTCCCAAAAATTCCGATTAAACAGTAAACACTCAACAGTTCAGGGAGCAAAACGTACAGCCTTTTCAAACCCAAATCAGAACCATATTGACCGAATGCAAATAAATTCCTTGCTATCCGGTATTTGAACACGTCGGTCCGCGTTCCCCGTCCCTCACCCGCGCCGCTCGACTACTAATCAAAAAATTGAACTTTCAATAAAGGGAATCATTAATTCTTTTTAGGGAGGGCTCCTGTAAGATCCTAACGAAGTCCGCAACAATCTTGGCATGTTTTTGTCGGATAATTATTTGAAAGGAATATTGTGATGTTTTTTCTTGTTCGAATTCTTTTTGTTTGCGATGTTTTAATTATAAGTCCTCATGCAATGGTGAACGTTTAACCTAATTGGATTATTGTAGTTCTACTTCATCAGTTTTAAACATACTTACTATTAATTGCATATGTAAATATTCGTTAGGAATGGTTATGTAGGCCGAGAATTAGGCGTACCATGACGTTTTTATTTCATTAGTGTTTGTAAATGGGTTGCCAGTAGTCAATTAATATATTCTTTGAATTGTATTGTGACAATAATAAAAAAAATCGTATGCAAGCATTGATAAGCCGTGACAATGAGACTAGTATAACCGGATATTGATCCGTTATTTTTCTCAGAAGCTATTAGAGTAATGCGGGCAATCCCCCGCCGTGGCCGGGCGACTGCCGAGAATTAATGATGTCCCTTATTGGAAGCGGAATTTTTTGATCCCCTCCCCTTCCCCTCTCAGCAGCCCCTCTAGCCGAAGGCAGAGGAAGCCAACAAAAGCTTGTTTACACGACGAAGCTCGCATTAAAACAGACTCCGGTCGCTTTAAGGCATTTAGGGGCCCATTGTGGATTATAGTATCGGATTGTCAAAAGCGATGTTGCGTTTTTGTCGCTTCCGAGCCCTGAAGGGTTTTGTAAATGAGCTTTTTTAACTCTTGATAATTCTAATAAGTGGTAATCCCAAAAAACGAATTCATTTGTTTAAATATACCATATGACATCCTGATGATAATTTAAGTTAACTTAGTAACTATTAGTCGTAATAATTTTTCATGTACTTTTAACAACAATTTTACATGTTTACATCTCCGCTGTGGTACAATGTATTCAACGCAATTTGACCCTCGCCTGAACAAGATTCGTGCGCAGTGCTGCCCTCAATCACGTTACGATGTAGTGATAAAGTCGGCGCGCTTTGATCAATTACTCGAGCAAATGATGCAATGCAACGGCTACCTGCGGCCAACAGATCTCTCTCCCACAGGAATTGAAGCGCCAGTTAATACAGGTAAGGGAGTCCATAATGCAGTAGGCTAATAAGACTACAGTATTGTCGATTGAAATATGTTCACTGTATCTTGTTCACGAATTTACAAACTAGTACACAGGACAAGAATATGTATAGAATACAATTGTCTTTGAAAAAAAACACTTAGGTTAAACTGTTAGTTAAGCATAGTTTACAATAGTGACGTTTTTTATTTTCCTACATATATTTTTCTCTAAAACCATTATGCTCCTGTCAATCGAATAAACAAAATAAAGCATAGTCAAAAGTTAATAAAGGTAGAAATAGGTTAACGATTCTAAGTAGCCCAAGGTCTTTGTGAGATTTAATAGTGTATATAACTGCGCAATGTATCAAAAGAACATTTAAACGTTACGCAAGAAAGCCATATGTTTCAATTAGCTGATCTCGCAGCGCTATGTTCATGCTAATCGCGTTAATTACCGCCTCTTCACCATACGACTGGTAGTATAAAAATATTATAATAATTGAAAGAAGTCATTTTTTAGCCACGTAGTTACACAGCAAATTAGAAGTGTAAAAACTAGTCGGTCTACACATTTAAACCGCATGTCCGTTACAATCAATCTCGTTTGTCCGAAATTAGACACACTGCCGCCGCGCAGTGTTGAAACTACAACAGGAAAAGTTTCTACCACTATTCTGATACACATTTATTTTAACGAGAATATAGTATTTATATTAAAAATTGCAGAAAACTTGCTTACCTCGGATTTTCACTGCCAATACACCTGAAGAAAACATAATTGTCATTTTTAGCTTTTTTAAATCGAACATTTTTCAAATTCTCTCATTGTATTTTCGTTCTATTCGAGTTTATGATGACTTAATTGGTTACGTAGTAAGCATGTGTGGGAGAAATTTATAATATTCGCAGGCATTTGAGCAAGGATTGTATTGTCAAAATATATCTAGACGCGACATAGAAACAATATCGTTTGGACAGCTCAGAATAAGCTAGGAGCATGATTGTGGCTAACTGAGTACGAAGTGTCCAACGCGCTTTTCAGTTTCTGTCGCGGCTTACAATTATTCAAGGAATTTATTCTATTTGGAGCTAGTTTATATATATTTTTATTAAATTATTCATTGTTTTCGTTATTTAAATGTGTAAAATAATTTAATAAATCGCTTCAACCGTTATCTGTGGTAAATATTAAGATAGAAAAATATTAAAATATTTCTTTAAATTTTTTTTATTTAGATTTTTTAATTAAGAGCAAAAAATAATCTGTATTCATTAGACATAACACTGTCAAGTGACATGACAACAATTTGTTTTGAATCGTTCACGTTTCGAGAGTATAATTTCAAAATTTTTGGTTAGAATTAATACAATATAATATTACATACCTGTATTAAAAGAACAGTTAACAGAAATCTAATGTGTTTCTAAAAGTTCAGCAACTCAATAAAAAAATCTTTCTATTAAAACTCTTGTTAATGGCGACTAAATCAAATAGAATTTTAGAGGATTATTTCTCGTTAGTATCAGCTGAAAACTTTCACATAAACAAAGTTATTGATAAAAACTATGAAGAGGAGGAAGAGAAAATATGCGATGTTAGTACTCAAACAAATGTTAGCAACCGACAGAAAAAAGGTGATTATTTTTCATAATATCTTCCGAACCGAATTTATAAATATTCAATAGATTACTCATCTTAAGAAATTGTAGATGAAGTCAATGTCCTTCCTAATATTGACACAGACGAAAAAATAAAATTCTTAGACCCAACAACAAACACAACGTGAAATCCCGAAACAAACTTTGCTACTGCCAAGATATAGTTAGTTGTGGGTAGTTGAGTTTTACCGGATATGCCACCTGCCATGAATTATACTTTTAAATAAACACTTCATAATGATAAAGGTACGACCAAAAGAAGTGCCACGATTTTTAGACAACATAAATTAAAAGCTAAACTCAGGAGATGGTAATTGGGGAAAAATAGATGTGTCAATTGTATGAAATAATTAATTTAAATTATTGATTTAACTTTAGTTGTAGGTAAATATTATCCAGGCGTCATAACAAGACATCACGTTTGGAAAGTAATGGTTCCTTCACAGAGACCGAAGCGAAGACGAGGTATATACTTATTTATTTGATGGATATTTGATTTTTTGTACAGCCGATTTATAATTATTTTGTTTACAGTAACGTTCATGGATTGGAAGAAATACCATAAACTAAGTGTTATTAATGGTTTCATTGATGATTTAGAAAAAGATTATCCTGCTATTTGCACAGTGTCAGTAATCGGTAAATCCGTTGAAGGTAGAAACATTAAGGTAAGAAAAGGCCTTCTAAAAGACTTCCAAATTAATTTTAGCCAGAATTTATGTCAAGCCAGTAACACACTGAATGTGTGCCATCGACAACGGCATAATTTATTTGTACGATATTTAGATTCCTGATGATATCCTAGATCTTAACGGGAATTATCATATTCCAGATGCTAAAGATCTCCAACAGTGATGCCGGCAACTCGCCCGTGTGGGTTGACGCTGGCATACATTCTCGAGAGTGGATCAGCATTGCTGTAGTCACCTATATAGCTAACATCATTGCTAAAAATTTCCATAACCTTCCGAAATCAATTACCAATAAGGATTGGTTAGCTGAATTATACTTATATTCTTTTATTAAAATAGATCTACAAATATTTTGATACCAGTGTTTAAAAATATCATAATTATTGTACAACATTATAGGCATTTTGTACCTGTTTTAAATCCGGATGGATATGAATATACTCATAGTCATGAGCGCATGTGGCGGAAAAATCGCGCGATGCACGAAGGAAAATGTGTTGGAGTTGACCTCAATAGAAATTTTAGGTATAATTATTTTCTGTTTACCAAACTTACTAATATTATAAATGCGAATGTTTGGATGGTTGGATGTTTGGAGGTATCAACGGATGCATGGATCTCACTGAAATTTGGCATAGATATAGAACAAAGCCTGGAAGAATACATAGACTACTATTTTTTTTAAATCCTGCGCTAATGGAATGGCAGGCGACAGCTAGTATTAAATAAATAATGTAAGTAGCAAATATAAGCTTCTAGTGTTGACTACAGTTGTGGATGGGGTGTTGATGGTGACCAAGGATCGTCCGCTTCACCGCATAGTGTTTTCTACAGAGGTCCAGCGCCGTTTTCTGAACCTGAAACAGTCGCCGTTAGGGTAACCAAATCAAAAATAATTTCTTTTAACAATGCACAAACCTAAAGTTACTGCATTAAGTGAGGCTTGAAATACAATACATCCAACTAACTTTTCATACTTGAAGAAAAATAAGATGGTCTAGAAGAATTGATGCTAAATGAGAATTTGTCCCAAGTCAGTTCTGCTAATAAAATAAATGATCATCTATCTGTCCTTATCTCACTGAAAATAAATGATTTTAATTAAAAAAAGTTAATTAAAGAAAATATTGTAACTTACAGGATACAATAATGGGTTCAAGAACGCCTTTCAAAGTGTTCCTGTCCTTTCACAGTTATTTTGAATTAATAATATTTCCATGGGGCCACAAGGCTGAAGCATGTCCTGATTATCTTCAATTGTTAGAAGGTGGAGCGGTTATGGCAAGGGTAAAAATACTTTTATGTTACAAGTAAAACAACGCTAAATATACTTAACCAACGTAAAAACATAAATTATTGTCTAATCAATTGAAAAATACACATAAACTAACATTTTACATTTCAAAGAAAACAGAAAAGAACGTTTTTGTTTATGCATTTTTATGCAATGATGTGTAAAATAACAATTGCTATTTGATTTTTTCAGGCAATCTACGAAAGCAGTGGTTTGATCTATAAAGTGGGTAGTACTAAAGACTTGACATACAGCGCATGCGGAACTAGCACAGATTGGAGTTACACAATAGCAAATATCCCCTTCTCATATATGATAGAGTTACGAAGCAAAAAACATAAGTTTAGACTCCCTAGAAGTCAGATTATAGAAACAGGAAAAGAAATTTGGAACGCTGTGGGCAAACTTATGGAATTTATAGATCAATATTAACAAATGTAATTGGTCATATGTCGGTTTCTTTAATGTTTTTTGTATTAACCAATGTATGTATTTGTTTCGTAATGTTTGTGTAATACAATATTGTATATATAAATCAATTGAAAACGTAAATAAAAAATACGATAATCGGTTGAACGAGTTTATTATTGCATTTCCTTATGTTTTAAAGGTTCACAATTTAGACATTTCTTTTTATCGACGTGTTCAGCTAAAGCTTTTACACCATTCCATATTTCTTCACAGCACTCGATTATTTGTTTTTTGGGTAAAGCGAATTTATGTTCTTTACTTCTCAACTCGACTAAATATGAATACGGTATGCGAGCGATACCGTAACTCCAGTCGATACTCGTGCCACTTGCAGGATACATTAAATCTCTGAAGTTACCGACTTTATACAGACGTCCGCTTGTATCAAAAATAGCCTGAAATTTAGCCATATACGTTACTAAAAGAAAAGTTATAATCGGAGAGTTATTAATCTAAAAAAATACTGGTCTGATTTAAATAATTCATTTGTAATTGAATAGGTTTTATCAGGGAAGGATTAACGCTATTAAATATCAAGCTACAATCTTTAAGGGTTGTCAGGATGAATGATATCGTATAGTAAAGCTAGATTGAATAAAAACTGCAAAAAACTGTCACTTCATTTTTTTCTAATTATAGTTTTTAATTACCTTTGACATAACAGTGGCACCTTCAAGTAAATACACATAATCTGGACAAGGGTCAGTCGTAAAACACCAGGGAAAAGTAATAACTTCACTGTACGAGTGAAAAGTTAAAAATATCTTAAACGGTATCGACGAATACAAAATTAAATCCTGCAAAAAAATGATACTATTGAATTATTTGTATCATTCTAGCTTTACATATTGGACACAAGTGGACATATTTGTTTAAGATTTTTATTAAATTCTCAAACTCAATAAACAAAACACTTAATTATTAATCTTACTAATATTATAAATGCGAATGTTTGGAAGGATGGATGTTTGTTTCAAGGAATCTCCAGGACGGCTGAACGAATTTCGATGAAATTTGGCATACATATAGAACACAGTTTGGAAGAACACATAGGCTAGTAAAGTTTATTTAATCTGACAGATGGTGTCGTGATCGACAGCTAGTATTAGAATAATTTTAATACCTTAATAGCACCTGCTTCTGGTTCGGAGAATGCACCTGTACCTCTAAAATTATTATGGTTAGGATCACCAGACGAGAACTCTGTACCATTTACACCCCATCTTACTCTGGGAACATAGACCTTTATTAATAATCTTAATATTTATTCTTTACGTATAATCACTGAGCTACATTTGTTATATGGAACTGGAATATCTAGGTTAAGGTTAATAAAATTATAATTACCCAAAATTACGATTAAGATCCACTCCAACTACAGTCGAGCCAAGGCGCGATCTATTTTTCCTCCACATTCGATCACTCGTGTGCGAGTAAACATAACCGTCCGGATTTACGACTGGCACTAAATACCTTAAAATAAATCATTCTTATTATCGTAGTAGAGTTGATACATAGTCTAATAAAACACGACATGTTTACCAGTCTTTATTAGTTATGCTCGTTGGCATTCTGTCAAAATTCTTAGCAAGCTGCTCGCCTATGTACAAGACAACAGATGCACTGATCCATTCACGCGCGTGTATGGTACCGTCCAACCAAACTCCTGTGTTGCTCGCATTGCTATTAGAAATTTTAAGCAACTAAAAAGGACACAAAACTATTAACATGCAGATTTTAATTCTTGTATAAAAACAAACGGAAAAAGCTTGCCTTTACTTTAAAAAAAGATTATTTTTTTAAAAATCAGTTAAATTTGCATACCATTATATCTCTGCCTTCCACTGATGTACCGATAACACTCAAAGTACATGTAGATGGACACTGCGCTTCAAGGTCCACTAAATACTTATAGATTACGTTCAAAGGATGATAATCCATCCAATCCATACTACGACCTGAAGCATTAGAAATGTTTTAACACGTATCCAAGTACACAAATCAATTTACAACATTGCCACAAAAAACGAAGATTCGCAACGCATTCGATTGGATTATTATGCGTAGTATAAAAATAACCACTTACCATCGGGTGATCCATTCAGTCTCCTTCCGCTTCCTGCCGTAAAAAACATATTCAAAGATTTAATAACTTACAAAATATCAAAAAGAGTAATATGCAAACAATACTTAGTCATCGTACCCAGATGACAGTTCGAGAAAAAACAAACCTAATTATATATTAGGGACATACATAATTGGAAATATATGTACAACATCTCAAAGTAGTTAATTACAATAATCTTAATTTGAATTATTCGATAGTGTATAGATGAATAGTGCTTACTTCTCGGTGATTTGGGTGAATAGGTGGAAGGTGTGGGACTAGCAAGTCGTAGCCTCCCCATGGCATCGGCACTTGTTTCAGTCACTTCATAAACGATGTTACGGTTTCGGAGTAATTTTTCCAGTTGCATTACTCGTGTGCCCTCGACAGTTACATCTACATCATCTTTATTTTCGCTGCAGATGTTTATAGCTGAAAATATAATGATTTTAAAAGGTCTATTTCAAAAATTACTATATGTGTATTTTTAATTTAGCAAACATTTGATTGTACTCCAAGCGAGACTTTTCTAAAGGTGTTATTACAATTTGTTATTAAAATATAACGTTATTACAAATTGTTCTAAGATTAGATTATTAGAAGTTTTGCCGATGATTGTCCTTTTAACTTGTGCTCGTCTTCGTCTGATAACGTGTGACGTCATGAACCCATCGACAAAGCTTTTGCGCACGAGTACAATGGATAAAATCAAGATGAAACTATAAGGTTTAAATCAAATTCTAAAATTGTAAAAGGCAGAAGTAACTTACTGCCTTTTGTATCCAAATTTTTGAGGAAAGCCCTTTGCCCTTCTTTTACATTTTTTACAGACCATATTTGATAAGTACGTGTTCTTCTTTGTGACACCTTGACAATTTATATGTGATTTTTAATAGAATAAAACTTTTAGATTTTTATAATTTTTGGAAATTATTTAATTCATTAAACGAAAAATTTTTGCGTTTGACATTTCACGAAACGGATTAAAATTAGGGAACCAAATGATTGACAGATGGGGCCAACATTGACAACAAATATGTTTTACCAACCTGAACCACACAAAACACAAACTTTTTTGTATCTTACAAAATCTACATATAAACTTCATGGTTTGCATTAAAACCATCAATGAGGTTAAATATTAATTAAATTAAAATATACAATAATTGGAACATAGTGGACTGATACTATAGAATAATACAGATACTTGTCCCTTACCCTTGTTACATGTCATTTCTAGAATAACTCTGTATCTTACGTAAAACATTTTTGTGTACAAAGACGATATTGCAAAAGCTTCCTTAAGAAAATTTTTAATCAGTGCATAGTTCCAAACGGTTATATAAACAATGCGCTTGTAATCAAGATGAGTGAGTCAAAGGACGAAGGCGCTAAAGTCGCGCGGCCCCGCTCGATAATTAGATGTAATCAGATATTTTCAGTAAACGCCACCTCCTCCCCTTGCCCCGACTATGCACTCCCTGTTAATGAAATAGCTACCCCTACTCATTGTTCACAAACACGAATGTAACTCACTTTATAACTCGAATCAACTTTATTTTGTATGAGTTGTAAAAACTTAAACATACACAATTTTATCCAACATAATGAATATAATGGTCTCTAGAATTTAATCCGCATTTTTTATTAACGTAATCATTTGATGCTTCGTAAAGTTGCCGGTGCCAAAAGGAACCACATAAACATGTTAGACCTGTGTTAGTGTCACCTCGGTTTTATGTTTTATTGAAAATAATATACATATTAACACAATATATATACATATACACATACAAGTAAATAAAAAAACCACTACCAACCAATCATACCTTCTGTTTCAGCTTTCTTATCTTTACCACTCTTTTCTGTCGCCATCATCATCGTCATTAAATGAGATATTAATTTGTATCAGCTATTTTATCGATTCATTAAAATTATTTCATTTTTTATGTATGTTAATCATAAAATTAATTTTGATACAAAACTTTTAATTCTAATTAAAAAAAATAACGATTTAAATTCGTAAAGAACTCGAATATTACCAATGGTAACGCAAGTAAGTTGGGTAACCAGCTAACCAGACGTTGGACCCCAAACGGCGCCGCCCCGCCCGCTGAGATGTCGCCTCGACTTCGTCTTACGGCGTTTATCTTTTTAATTGTGCCCCCTACAGTGACGGCTGCTTGTTACGCGCTACTTAGATTTATTTTATACTGATCACCCTAACGTTTCTACTAAACTACTAAATACTAAGTAAAAATGTTACATAACATGTTTAATCATTTCAAAGTTTAGTATAATACTAAAAATGGTCGTTTAAGATCTTCCAGAAATAATAAATGTAGTTTTATAAATGCACCGTAAAGCTAAATATATGTTCAAACCAACTTGGTACGGGTTTTAGAAAATTAAAACAAAAGAAGAACAATTCTATGTAGACTATATAATTTGGAATATTTTTTTTGGTACAATAACTCGTAGAATTGTTGTTTAATCGTTAAATTAGTCGCTAAATGCGTTGGGAGCGTGGGGCTCTTGTGCTCGGACACCCCAACTTTGTTTTTCATTAGACACTGCTCCCGGCGACGCGCACCTAAATGTCGCCCCGACTTAGTAATGTGTAAAGTACTTAGACACGTCTCTAAAGTTTACGTATATTTATACCGTATAAAATTCAATCTATATGCTTATGTTAACTTAGTTTATGAGGTTTCGTAGGTGTAAGGAAGTTTGACGTAGCAAATTTTAATAAAACCCTTACTTTTGGGTTCCGTACCTCATAGGAAATAAGCGGAACCCTTATAGGATCACTTTGTTGTCTGTCCGTCTGTCTGTCAAGACCCTTTTCCTCAAAAACGCGTGAAGGTATTCAACTGGAATTTATTTCGTAATATTATTACAATTTTATTACCTAACTAATTAATAAAACTTAATTATTATACTATCGATAAATTTTTTATCGATCCATTTTCTTTTAAATGCTTATAAAATATATAATCTGAATATTTATTTTTATACATTTTAAACTGTCATTATCAATTTTCTATTATGTCAAAACAATCCTGTCAAACCTACACAAAAACTGGCGCCTTAAATAAAATAAAATCTGCTTAATAATTTTGTTATCTTGTATTTTAGCCAAATATTGACAACATCCTAAATTTTAAAGGAACAAAAATAATAACAATTTGAATACTTACGATTAATATTAAGTAACAAGAAATGAACATAACCTATAATTTCTCTTTGTAATTATGTACGGTGCACAAAAAAAATTGTATGTAAAAGGAAAAAGAATAAAAATAGTGGTATATGCTAACTTTATATATTTCTTCAATAAAACAAAGAGGATAAAACAATGGTAGTTTATACAAAGGACGAGAATCAAAAAGATAACTATAAAAATAATGTATTATTAGACATGTACAATGATTCAGGTGAAATATTGCGAATAATAGATTCAAATTTCATCTATCAAAATCTTATAACTCGCAACGAAAATCTGGATTTGTACAATGCGAAACCACTAATAGAAGATGTTGAGTCAAATAACAAACTTCATTCGCTTAAAATTCTTGACACACGTGAGTAATTCAGTTCTTAAAACTTCTATCATCTCTTCTTATAATTCATCATTGTTATAACTAGCTGTCGCCTGCGACTCCGTCCGCGTGGATTTATAAAAAAACTTAATAAGTGTAGCCCACCCATCCATCCACATCACATCCATCTAAACGTTCGTATTTATAATATTAGTAAGTTAAATAAAAAGCTGCTCTTCAAGGCATAAATTCGGAAAAAAAAAGGATAAATAGTATCCTATGTCCGTCTCCTGGCACTAAGCTGTCTCCTCACCAATTTTCAACCATATCGGTTAAGCCGTTCTTGAGTTATAAATAGTGTAACTAACTCGACTTTATTTTATATATATTATATATAAAATAAGCCAGCACTTGACAATCCATTTGTCTTAAGTCATCATGTGGTCAAAAGATTATACGCGCTAGTTAGTATGGCATATACTCATTTCCACTCTAATAACATTTCAAGCTTTTTTATTTTGAATCGTTAAATTCATTGATATTATCATATGAGGATTACTTATTTCCAAGAAGCATTTAATATGTTCATTGCAGGATTTCTCAGTACAAGCATTTCAAACAGTACTATATATTACAACATTTATTTCTGTTGTTGTTTTGTTTTTTTTTTTAATTGAATAATAAAACATAGTATTGACCAACAATAATTTGTTCATGTCATTAAAACTAACCTTTTTTATTGGTTCCTTTAGCTAAACAAAAAGCAAACGATCAGGGGATGAATTGGAATGAATATCACAACTTAGACGTTATCTACGCATGGATGGAGAGTTTGGAATACAATTATCCTTCACTCTGCAGCGTTATACCAATCGGAATAACAATAGAAGGTCGGACGATGAAAGTAAGCATTTTTATATTAAATAATACATCATCAGCACAATGTTTATTTCTTTTTAAATATAAATTAGCGCATTATTACTGGTCATTATACCATTATTTTATTATAACGGACCATGAACGATTATTAGAAGTATGTTGTTAGTTATGAATAATTCCACGTATGTAACTAATAAGGTACGCGTACATTGACCCGCGCCGGACGCAACGCACGGACTTAACGAATGTGCTTTTGTCTCGATGCGATGCGGGAGGCGCGGATGATGGACGCAACGCTATGTAAAATCATACAAAGCAAACTAAAATCCATTGCGGGCCGTGCACACGGTGCGTCCGGCGCAGGCCAATGGACACGTACCTATATATTTCTTGCTTTTAAGTTATTAATCGATAATAATATACAGATATTGAAGATCTCCAATAGCGACGTTCAGAATGAACCAGTTTGGATAGACGCCGGTATCCACGGCAGGGAGTGGATAGCGCCCGCCGTCAACACTTTCATTGCTAATTACATTGTGCTCAATTTTAAGAGTCTTCCGTCATGTTTTACTAATAAGGACTGGCAAGTAATCTCCTAGTAATCTTTTTCTTACTATGGGCTTCTGACACCAAAATCTCTGTATAAAGTATATCGTCATCCCTGTCTTTCCTCTTCGACAAAATAGAGATAACAATATATTTTAATCGGGGATTTAGATCTCAGAAACCGAAGGATAGTGAATTTAAATTACAAGTGTATCCAATAACAATTGACAATCGTCAAATTGGTTCCCTCAAATCCTATACTATTCAGCCTCCTTCCTTACTTAAGAAGTCCAACTCCTCTGATGTGAAGATTTATGGACGATGGCGGTCATATTATATACAAATGTTGTATGTGTGTAAAGTCTTCTATTCTTTTCCTACGCCATTAGGTATTTTTTGCCAGTTGCAAATCCTGACGGATACGATTATTCGCACAAAGTAGATCGCATGTGGAGGAAAAGTAGAGCGGCGTACGGTGGTGAAATAACCGGCGTTGATTTAAATAGAAATTTCAGGTGAGTTTTATAAAAAAATACATTTAATATAAACAAGACCAGACTTTACACTTCAAACATTTCATTTCTCTGAATAAAATTATTTATTGTCCTATAAAATTATCGCTTTACAATTCATGTCAGTTAATTACACGAAGATCGTCGATCATGTTTAATGTACTGGAATGATCCAAAAATTAAATTGCATTAAAATTACGAAAATTGTAATCGATGATCGATTACAATACTAGTTTTACTATCAAATAAAAAAATCCAAGTTAATTAAAAAACTTATGTACTACTAGCTGTATCCCGCGACTCCGTTCCCAAAAAAAAAAACTTAATTAGTAGTCTATGTGCTTTTCCAGACTATATTCTACATTTATGTCAAAGTTCTGCGAGATCCGTGCAGTTGTTGTAGAGATCCCCTAAAAAAATATCCAACCTTCCGTCTAATTAAACATTAGCATTTATAATATTAGCATGATAATTGTGTCTTAACATTTTTAGTTTTGGATGGGGTGGTAGACACTCATCAACTGATCCTTCGAGTGCGTTCTTTAGAGGCCGAGAACCATTTTCAGAGCCGGAAAGCACTGCTATGAAAGTAACGTATAAATATTTTACATAATAATAACCGCAAGTCTGTAAGTACCAAATTTTTTTACATTCAAAATATACCAATAGGTTTATGATGCAGTAACTACCACTGGATATATTTTTGTATCACATTTTATACCCAAATTAGGTGTCGCCTACGCTTCCGTCCGCGCGGAATTAAAAAAAACTCAATAAGACGCCTGTGATTTCTTTCAGGCTATGTTCTACAACCATGCCAAAATTCATCGAGATCTGTTGAGTCGTTCTGGAGATACCTACTTACAAATGTCCACTCGTCGATCTATCTATCTAAACATTCACATTTATATTACTAGCTGTCGCCCGCGACACCGTCCGCGCGGTACTAAATAAAACTTAATTAGTAGCTTATGTTTTCTTGCAGACTATGTTCTACATCCATGCCAAATTTCATCGAGATCTGTTCAGCCGTTTTGGTCGATACCTTCTAGCAATTCATTCCTAACAACAATTCATCCATCCGTCTTCACCTTCGTATTTATAATATTAATAAGATTGTATGTGAGTGTAAGAAAAAACTTGTAAAATATATCCGGCAATAAATATGTAAATTCAGCATTATTTAGATGTAATATACCGTTGATACCAAAATCGTGTCATCCGCGATGGACGGAGAGATTAAACTGCAAATAGGATTTAGTCGTAAATCAATTGCAATGCATCAGTTTTAAATCTATCCGCAGCGTTAAAATAATACTTTAAATAGTTTAATGCGCGTACATAAATTTAGTTGTTGTGTTTCACTAATGTATTGTCCTGATTTTAAATAATGTTGAAATTTGATTACATCATAATAATATGAGCCGTAATTTCATATGTTTTTCAATTTAATTTATTTTGTAGTATTTTCCATTGGCTTTAGTTATGTTGGAACATATTTTTGTAGGATATACTTATGAATTCCGGTATCAAGTTCAAAGTGTACGTTACGTTGCACAGTTTCGGTCAAGTGATAGTTTTTCCGTTCGGATATAGAGATGAGCTATGTCCTGACTACATGAGACTGCTTCAAGGTGCTACTGCTATGTCTAAGGTTATTTGTTTTCAATATTAGTATTGCTATAAAAAAATTGTTAACAAATTGTCATGTTCTAATCCCATCATTCATTTCAACATGATATCCCTCTAAATTAAAACCATACTTAATGATTTTTGTAGATGTAATCAAAGATCGAGCATCGGTGGCTCAGGGGTCAAGCACTTAACTTGCAATCTGCAGGTCTTGGGTTCGAATCCCGCCATGTACCAATGTGTTTTCCGATTTCCGATTTACATATGTACATTTATCCGACGTTCTTACGGTGAAGGAAAACATCGTGATGCAACCTGCACATATCTGAGAGGAAATTCGAAGATATGTGTGAAGTCAACCAACCCGCATTTGGCCAGCGTGGTTGACTATGGCCTAATTACCCTAACTTAGGGTAGGCTCCGAGCCCCTCGGTGGGGACGTATAGTGAACTGATGATGATGAATCAAAGATCAATAATACGAAGACTTTTTAGGTAGCCTATAAAATGTAAATACCTACTCTATTTAATTTGTTTGAATCAGATGTAAATTCACGCCTATTTCCAGCTCCAAAGTGAAAGGCCTATAGGACCTTTAAAACCTTTTAGTGATTTATGAAAATATTTTTTTTCCTCAGGCTATATTTAGATCTACAGGAAACGTTTATAAAGTCGGCATATCAAGGGACGTGATGTACGGCGCCTCTGGAACGAGTACTGATTGGAGTTATGGTGCAGCGAAAATACCATACTGCTATTTGATCGAACTAAGAAGCAAAGAACACAAATTCGAACTACCCAAAGAAGAAATTAAAGAGAATTGCAAAGAAGTTTTGCATTGTATTCATGCATTGATGGACTTTGTAGACAAAAATCCTGTTGATAATGAAAATACAAATTTGAGTCCAGTTCCAAGTTAGGCTAAAATCAAGAAGAAAAAAACAAAAAAAATGTAAAATATAAAAAGTACTCAAAATTTTGTACATAAAGTTTTAACTTAAAACACAGAAATCACTGTATGTAAAGTGGACTCAAGAAATAAAAAAAAACTTTGCAAAGAAGTTATGATATGCAAAAAACATTAAAAAAAACTTTGTGGACATCCTTATTAAGAAAATATTCAGAACAATAAGTTCGAATTCAATTTTATAAGGAATAAACAAAGAGAAGTAAGAATTTGTATGAAAATTCGATATGCAAAGAATATTGATAATTTCTGAGGACACTAATAAACTTCAGATAAAGGCAAGTACAATGGTATTTTTGGATTAAAAATATATGACGAATATCGAGAAGAAAAACTGTGTAAAAAAACAAAAATTATATTTAAAGAGTATTTGTAATGAGAACTATTTACATTTCTTTAAAAAAAAAAGGTTTTACGCGAAGACAGCAGATCAAAAAAGAAAAACAATTGTCATGTAAATGTCAAAAAATATGAATTCGTTTTAAAATGTTTCGCAAATGATATATAAATTTCAAGTAATAATTTAATTCAAACATTCCGATTATACACAATAATATCTATGATTTTAATCTGAGAGTTTCATTAATTCGCTCAAAGTGGCACCGCCATGCGTAAAGGCGCTAGGGGGAAAAACTCAAGTATGGGAAGTGAAACTTAACAGCGAGAAGCAAAGGTGTTTCATCAAGACGTTGGACACGGTTGGAGGTAGATTACGAGAATATAACATTTTAAATTATTACATGTTAAAAAAATCTTTTAAATTAAGTTTTAATTACTAGACGCTAAACACTTTCAAATCTAATGCTGGACGCAGTCTTCTCTATGATAATTAGATTTAAAAATAAATTTAAAAAGCTATAAATTTTAACTTTTCGCATCCAAGATGGATACCATTTTCATGAACTATTTAATTTTCCTATCTTAGCCTACTTTTAACGCTACTTTTTTGGAAAGAAAAATATTCTAATGCCGTCTATTTAGTCGACTTCATTTACTATTAATTTCAATGAAAATTACTTTTGTACCATTAATTCTATTATTCCTATGCTTGCATAACAGTTTTGTTTCTTACTCATAAACGTAATTCATACATTATTTTCCAGCGGTTAACATCTGGAAAGAGGAACGCAGCTCAATGGATATAATGGTGGAAGGGCCGAAGTCAACTCAGGTAGCTGAGTTGTTGTATGAGCGCAGCATTCCCTTCGCTGTAGCTATCGGCGATGTGGCTCCCATGCTGGACCGGGAGGGAGTCAAGCCGAAACATCGAAAATGTGGTACAGGGTCAAGTATGTTGTCAACTCATTACATTTATTTTTAATTTCCTTAAAAATCAATAGTATCACAATGGTTCTTCTTTGTGTACTGTCTAATAGATTCCTCATCCTCTCTGCCTCTTCATTTCTCTGTTTTGCATGATCCCACTATATGTAGAGTACTAGCTGTCGCCCGCGAATCCTTCCGCGCGGAAATAAAAACAGGATTGGTCGCAGCGTAATGTTATTTACCCTTAAGCCCACCTCTACAGATGGTCTTTCCAACAAAAAAAATAATTTTTCAAATCGGACCAGTAGTTCTTGAGATTAGCGCGTTTAAACAAACAAACAAACTCCTCGGCTTTATAATATTAGTATATTACTCAATTCAGTCAATATTGTCTTCCATATTTTGTAATAAAAACCAGCGATGAAACAAAGTTATTGAATAAGTTGTGATACATCAAGCGGTCACAGTGAAAGTATGACTCAGTTCTTAAGTTCAAATATTTCCGTTCCAGAATTAAGTCATTCTCTCCTATTGTTATCGTAACCAATGACGTAATTATAATCCGTACTACGATAGCTACTTATCTCTCAAATTCCAAAAGTCATTAGTATATTATTATGGCTAATCGTTATAATGTATTCCGATTATCATAACTAACAATTATAACTAAAGGTTAATTAACTTTTTAAAAGAAAAATAGTCTTAAAAGAACTTCCTGAGTAATTTAGTAATACATTCTTTAATTGCATTTAAAACTGTGCAAATTTATTTTAACCTTCGCATTTGATAGACGTACTTCATTGAGAAAGGATCTTCATTGTCACGTCTTCATTTTTTTATTTTTAAATTATTTTCGTGCTTAGAGGTGCCAATGGATTGGAAGAGTTATCATCGTTTGGGTGTCATTTATGAGTTTATGGAAAGTCTGGCAGCAGAATGGCCTACGTTATGTAGCGTGTGTACAATCGGACGATCTGTTGAAGGGCGCGCAATAAAGGTAAGAGAGCTTTGATTAAGTCTAATCATATATGGTAAATATAGATGTTTGCTCTAAAGATTTGCTTTTTCTTGACTAACCTAATTTTAGTATATGGTAATTTCTAATCGTAAATTTTTAATTAAGACTGATAAATAACCAACAAATTATTCAGTGTGGCAATAACTAGTTTTCTTTCTAGATGCTTTTTTGGAGATGTTATTTATTTGAGATTTTGTTTTCATATAAACATTTATGTTGTTTAGATGTTAAAGATATCTAACGGGAGATGCAACAATGAAGGCGTATGGATGGACGCAGCGATACATCCCCGCGAATGGATCAGTACGGCGGTGCTCACATACGTCGCGGACCAACTAGTCAGGACATACGACCAGCAGCCGGATTACATAACAAATAAAGATTGGTACGATATTACAATTCTTTGCAATGGACTCAACGTAGATTTAATATGATTAATCTGCACTTAGGAAATAACTATGTTATGCCTCTTGAGTGTCGTTAATGGTATCACGTCTCAACCTTTATTGACTACGGAATTCTTTTGGAAAGCGAAATATTTGACAGAACTCATAAATTCTAGAAATATTTGTTTGTAGCCCTAGATTTTTTAATTGTTTTCTCCCGTCCTTTTGTCAGTTCTTAGCCAAACTTTTTATATACTTAATATAAATATTTTGATCGATCTTTCATTTTGGACTTACTATGTTTTTATTTGGCAGGTTTATAGTACCCGTGGTGAATCCCGATGGATATGAATATACTCATACCCATGATCGAATGTGGCGGAAGAACAGGGCGCGGTACGGCGAATGCTACGGCGTAGATCTTAACAGGAACTTTAGGTAAAAACTTTAATAGATACGAAGAAATATTAGCATACCCACTTTAATGACGAACATTTAAACAAACATGCTATACCTTTTTAGCTATGGCTGGGGCGAACGTGACGAAGAAGGATCATCTGATGACCCTGCTAATATTTTCTACAGAGGACCTGAACCATTTTCTGAACCTGAAACCGCAGCGATTAGGGTTAGTATCTACATTGTCTTATATTTTTATTTATTTATACTTCAAATGTACAGTTTACTTTTTTAATTGATAACATTTAATATATCGTAAAGCTTCTAAGTAATATTTTTAAGTACTAAACAAAAGTTACACTTTAGTAACGACTACGTAATACATCTGATTAACTACGAGGATAATTAAATTGTAAATTGTAATTTAACTTATTAAAAATGGCCGCACATCATGTACTAAATATTTTATTTAATAAATTATAACTCAAAATTTAAAAATATTCTAATACAAGTATGTTTGTAGCAAGCAATCTGCAGCGCGGGCACCAAGTTCAAGGTGTTCCTGTCGTTCCATAGCTACGGCGAGGTGATTATCTTCCCCTGGGGATACACGGGAGATCCCTGTCCTCATTACGTGCAGATGCTGGAAGCAGGAACAGCTATGGCTAAGGTATTTGACTTTTATAAACTAAAATATAAGCAATAAAACTTACGTATAATTAGTCATGTATCGGGCCCTACTAATTTTAAGGCAATAGAGGACTTAGAGTGGAGTAGGTAAGACAAAAAAAGTGCCTGCAATATTATTTTGTTTACACTATGAATAAATGATACGCCAAATATGTCTTGTTACAATTTTACATGTAAAATGGTTGTAATTTTGAATTGTTTACAGGCTATCCAGCAAGCGAGTGGTCACATTTACAAAGTGGGCAGTACAAAGGATCTCATGTATTATGCGTCTGGAACGAGCACCGACTGGAGTTACGCCGTCGCAAACATTCCTTACTCGTACATGGTGGAACTGAGGGGCAAGAGACATCGCTTCTTATTACCTAAAGAAGAGATAGTTTGCACATCCATAGAGGTGTTATGCGGTGTATCAAAGTTAATGGAGTACATTGAAAAGTTTAACAAAGTAACTCCTGCGATCAGTGTTGAGTCCTGCCAATCGCCGTCCTATACGGTCAAAGTTCCCCGGACGCCATCTTGGGTTAGTGCCAGATGCCACTCCTGTAGGAGTTCAAGGTCCTGTTGTAAGAGCAGCCGTTCACCTTCGTGCTCAAGATCTCATTCGCGACAAAGTTGTAACGCTCAGAAATGCGACAGCGCACATTCTAAGTGCCGCAGTTCACCGACCAAACCTTGCAATTTTAGCGGATGACAGTAAAAGAAATGACAATCGATGACTTGATGTAAACTTGGAAATCATAGATTTGAAATATTTTTTAATTGGTATACAAGTGTTAAATAAATCTAATCAAGAAAATATTTATTGTCTCATTTATAAACGAAACTCAACGCCCCAAGACAATGCAATCAGTCAATAATGTCTGGTTTAAAATGACAATATTTGCCCTGCAAACGATTTGATCTAGAACTTGAAATTAGTTGTTCAATAAGGAGGTTCTTTCTGTAGATAGACGGTATATTTTTATTCAATACTTTACATTTAGTTGTTTCATAGTTCTAAATTAAATGAAACGTTTAGTTAATGAGTCCCTTGTGTGTATTGTAGATTTGGATTACTTGTGCAACTAGGATAAAAGTATTTAATACGATAATATGTTTTAAAATAAAATCAGCTTTTAAAATATATTATGGAAGCAATCCAAAAATTGTCCCTCGCAACCTGCCTTTACATTATGCTCAACACTGGCTTATTGATTCGCGGCTATCGTTGCCAAGTTTTAAATTGTATTGTCATTTTGTATTGCACCATAGATATGTAAAATAAAAGAACTGATTAAAAATTTCAGTAACTTTATTTACAGACTTTTGCATTATTTTATAATACAGTCAACAATTAATTACCGTACGTAATTCACATTCATTTTTCTAACGTAAAAACATCTATAGACACGTCACTATTGCACGAATCTCTTAATTTATAACAGTTCTACGCAATACAATAATTGTCCAATAGAACTCGTCAAACCGGACGGTACGACCGCACAGAACTCGGCAACATTAAAACATCCTGTAGTTCTTAACATAATCTTACTAATACGGACGCCAAACATCTATAGGCCGTCTCTCCGGCGTTATCATTGACTTG